ATTCATTTTATTCTCATTCTGAGGGTAAAAATTTTTCAATATGCTAAGTCTTCACTTAATGTCTTTGATAGGTTCTGTGTCTCTCTCTCTCTCTCTCTCTCTCTCTCTCTCTCTCTCTCTCTCTCTCTCTCTCTCTTTCTCTCAGCTATATCCATATCTACATCTGAATTTGCATACCACCAGGCTGGGTGACACAAGAGCTCAATAACTATGCATGCCGAACAGTAGTGGGGCTGAGAGGGGCTGTGAATTATTTGAGACTTTGAATAATCATTGTCGCTCTCTTCAGAAAGGATGCTGGGATTTTTTATCTAAATAGTGACCATCTTGTTTAATTAGTAGGGGAAAATCAGAATCCTTGGCTCCACTTTTGTGCTTGTCACCTAAGTACTGATTTTATCTCTGTGGTCCTAACTGTCCTTATCTGAATTGTGGGCATAAGTCTGGGTCATTGGTTTTCAACCATGGCTGCATATTAGAATCACCTTGGCGGGGGTGGGGGGGGGAAGTGGGGGTGTGTGTGATATATTTTCTGAATATTTCAATTCAGAAAGTATCACATAAATGCTTTAATTGATTTAATTGAACTGGGGTGTGGCCAGGGTCATGGCTCAGTGAAGACAAGTCACTAAAGATAGTTATTTTGCTATTAAGTCCCAGAACCAGTCTCAAATTCAAATTTCACTCCAAATTCTAGACACTTTTATTATACCACACTAGATTTCATCACTTTTTATCTTGTTTTAAAGTTATTTGCATGTATATTTTGTTCATCCTATTGGACTGTTGAGCTTCTGGGGGAAATTTTATTGTTTCATTCAATCAATCAATCAATCAATCAGTACATTTATTGATTGTTTATTGAGCACTTACTATAAGTCCAGGAACAGTGATGGCACCAATACTACACCTCCTGGGGTATAAAGTTCAGTGGAAAGACACCTGTTATTTTACACATAGCATCCTGCTCTAAGCAGTAGATTCATCTAATTCCCCATCATTATTGAAGCAAATATGGTCATACTTCTCAAGTATGTGACTGCATAAAATCTCCAGTAAGATATCTCAGGTAAAATGAGCAATGGTTCTCCGTTCCATTTTCTTCTGCCTTTCACCTTCCCCACCCTTCCACCCCTGCCAAACTTGGTACCTACCTTGAACTAGTCTTGTTGGTCCCGCCAGTCATGCTGCTGGAAGCCAAACTGCAGCCAAGATTGAGTAGCTGGCAGGGCCGGGCAGTCTCCAGGAAACTCCTGCAGGGGTCAGAGATGAATCCATACTTGTTGCTTGAAGCCAATTTATATTAGCATGCCCCCCCGTATTTAGTTTTTTTTTTTATTAGATGAGAGAAGCCCCGGTACGACCGGAAAGGCTGAATTTTTTTTGAGGGGTGCCCCGCCCGGTACGACCGAGGCTGATAAGGCTCCCTCTGAGGAGTGTTTTACGCTGTGACTGGGACCTGTTGAAATGTAAACAGTTAATCTTCTCTTGGGAGGACACAGTAATCAGGTGTCCTAGGGGCTAGGTGGCGGATATGCGAAGGCATAGTATTTGTTGGAACATAATGGATGTGTTAAAGGAAAAAGGCTTTGAAGCACAGGCCTCAAACTGATGCTAATTTGATTGACAGCAGTCTTACTTCTTTGAAATTTCTCAATAAATANCCCCCCCCCACACCTCCTAAACACAAGTCTGATTGGTTCTAGGTTTTGCCACTGCATATATTAAATATCTGAAAATCCCACTCTTCTTTCCCTTCATTCCCTGTGCTCTTGTCTTATTTCTAATTATCACATTTCTTCTCAATCTTCTGTGGCTGAATGATTTCCCTTCTTTCATTGGCTCCCTATTCTGTCCATTTCTTTTCTCTTTTTAAGATTTTTTATTGGGGAAATTGTGAGAGGGGAACAGCGTTGGGGAATCGGGGGAAGGGGAACAGACAAGTTGCTGTCCTTTTGTTCTTCAGTCTAGTTGTGGAGGACGCCACTTCACTGGTCCATGTTGGTATTATCATTGTGTTCTTCACGGGTGAGGCAGTCGATCGTGGGCCATTGGACCGCCGCTTATGGCGGCTCACGGCAGCTCACGCCGGCTGCCAGCCACTCATGATAGCTCACGGCAGCCCCACTGCAGCCTATGCTGTCACCAGCAACTCACGGCAGCCCAGCTCCAGGTTGAGCTGTTGTTCACCATCTTAGCTGTAGAGGGCGCAGCGTCACTGGCCCTCATGTGGGATCTGAACTGGCGGCCCTGCTGCTCAGAGCTGGCGCTCCCAAGCCAACTCTTAACCAACACACCACTTGGCCATTTCTTATACTTCTGCCAGAATGATCTTTCTAAAAGATAAATCTGATATTATTCCATTGTAAAATTTTAAGTGGCTCCCTATCTTCCTAGATCAAATCAAAATCCTTAAAACAACATAGAAGTCTTGGTTTCAAAATCTGTTTTCTATTTATCTTTCCTAGTCTTAATTTTGGTCTTCTACCACATATCCCCTTTCTCCCACTAGGCGCAAAGTGTAGTTTCTGAAGATATTATGATTTGCCATTCCTCTCTGCCTTTGAACACATTTTCTCTCTAACTAGGATGTCCATGTCCTCCTGCTCCCTCTCTCCCTCCCCCTCCTATCCTCCTCCTCTTCCTCCTCCTCCTCCTCCTCCCTCCCTCCCTCCCTCCCAATACCTCTGTTTAACCTTTACTCACCTGTCCAGATTCACCTGGAAATGCTATCCTCTGGGAAATTCATTTTTCTATGTCCCTATTGCATTTAATGAAATTAAATCAAATAATTGTTGATTTTCCTGTCACGTCTTTCGCTGAACTATGAGCTCCAAATATCCTGTGAGTGATCCTGCTTCATCTGCATAATATTCCTCTTGCCAGTGAGTTTATAAACAGGCAAGCAAACCAGTGTTGACAATGGTAGTGAGGGTATTGGTCCTTAGCTCAAAGGGTTAGGACAGATCCAAGTACAGTTCGTGAGGCTTGCTCTGACCCACAGCTACAGTCTCTACTCCTGTATACTCAGGGCAGTGTGCTTTTATGAGAAGAGCACTGGTTTGGGAGTCAGGAGGCCTGAGCTCTAGCTCTGATTCTGATATCAAGTAACTAGTTGCATGATCTTGCTAAGTCATTTTCCTTCTCAAATAGTCTATATAAGACTTATAGGAGATAATATCTCGGAAAGTACTATCTACTCACTGGAGATATTTTCTACCTGAAGGGCTGGGTAAGGTAGTGGATGGAGCCGGGGCCTCTGCTCTGCACTCCTGCAGACTCAGTGCTTACACTGCAGCCTACGTGAATACTGACCTGAAGTTGTGTTGCTCTCCAGCCTTGGGTAGAACCTTAGAAATCTATGGACACATTTGAAATGAATAACTCAGAAAATGAGCATTATGCAATGCAGGGAGCTGCCTTCCACAGCTCTAAAGAAGAATGGGGCAGTACAGATAAAGGAAAGACCAAGAAAGAGAAAAGAAAATACACAGAGGTCAACCAGGGAATACAAATTAAAAAGCCTCGGTTGTGAAAGAGGCTTTTCCCTACTCTACCTTTTCTTAAAGCACAGTTCTTTAGAAAACCTGTAAGTTCTTTGTCTCTTTGTAATGTATGTAAATGATTTTTAAGGCTAAACACGCCTCTTGCCACCTTTACAACCCAGAAAAGTCTTTCTCAAAGGAAGCCATTGCTTTGAAATGTAATCATCAAGGACCATAGTGCCCATATCTCCTCATCTCCATGGGAGGGTTGGAGTCTAATTTAGGTGCCTGGCAACGGCTTGCAAAACTACCTTCTGCAATAAAGATGGGAGAAGTTTTATTATTCCTTTGGATAAAAGCAATTAGCTAACACAGTTACCAGGTGAATATAGGATGAACTATGTGTGACAAATGGTGCTGTCAAGTCCTCTTACTTGAGGACTAATTATTGTTTATTTTAACAACATATATGTAACGGGTTTTTATATAAGACATGAGATTTCTTTCTGTCTTTGCAATCTTGTTAGTGGATTGCCTGTGAGGCACTGTCATCTTCTGGTTTAATGCTTATTCAAAAATAAAACTGTTTTCTTTCTCTTCTGCCTTTCTGGAGAGGTTTTCTGGGGTGGAAGAAGATGTTGCTTTTAATCATATCTCCCCAACAGGTGAAAAACAACCTTAGTAAGAATTATAAATGAGGCAGAAAAATAATTGTCACATTCTCACGATGTTCTGTCTCCCTCCCCTCTCCTTTTCCCATCTCTCTCTAGACTTCCTATCTAATACCCCCACTTCAGAATTTATTTTGGTATAAAAATAACTGCCCAGTGTCATCATCTATAAAATGGGAAACAATAAAAAAAANTGGAGACAGGACTAAGAAAAGGCAGACCAAGCAGTGGTTTTTTTCTTTGGCTACCTCCATACTATTAATTCCCATCTTCACACCAAAAAAAAAAAGAAAAAAAAAAAGAGGTGGTTATGGGGAAATGGTCATGCCAATCAGCAGATAATAGAACAGTCATTTTGGATTAGATCTTAACAAGCACCCAACATTAACCTTCTTCATCCCTAGAAGATTCAGTATTTAATTTGGTTTGGTTTATAAAGACTGTGAAGTTAGTTTATATTTCCTGTGACCTTAGGGGTTATACATGTGTTAGAACAGTCAGCAGGAGGTGTGCTGAGCAAGGGCAGGAAGGTGGCTGGAGATAGAAAGTTCACCTTGAGAAACGAAGAATACAAGCCAACACCTAGGTAATTGAGACTTATAGTTGTTTCATGAGAAAATATTTTTTTCCCTGTGTTAAAGCCAGCATGTTCTAAAGACTTAATGAACCTTAGAAATGGAAGAAATCTGAGACATTATTTTTAACATTAATAATTTTAAGCCCTTCTCTAGTGATTAATAAGTGTAAGGCACTCGGTTCTTTATATAGAACTCATTTAATGCTCACAGCAAGCTCATGAAATGAATATTATTATTATTGGACAAGATGGCCTTAATATTCCCTTCAGTTTAACTAAACTTTAGGTAGGCTTCTTTGTGACTCTAAGCCCTTGACCTCCATTTTCTTAGAGTATTTACTTTAGAAAACTTGCCATTGTAAATTCTTCCTCTGCTCCTTTGAGATGTAAATCTCCTCCTAGTTTTACAACTCCTAGATGTAAATCTCTTGCCAGTTTTACAACTCTGGGATGTCTTACTCAAGGACAGGAAGCCATTTCTTTGAAATATAATCCACAAAGATTAGCACCCTTATCTCCCAACTTCTGTGGAATGCTAGGAGCCTAACATCTGAGCATGCCTGGCTCCAATTTATAAAACTATCTCCTTTATAAAGATACGAGAAAGATATTTCTTTTGGATAAGGCCAATCAGCAAATACAGGTATGGCTCATAACCCCTTCCTAAGGTCTTCTAGTACTTTTCCATGAGCTCAGTCCAGTCCTTGGAAGTTCTATCAGCCCTGCTAGGCAGAGTTGAGTTCAGACTTGGTTCTGGCCTCTCTCCCCTATTGCATAGCCAGGAATAGTCTTTCTTGCCTGCTTAACTTTGATGCATTTTTTTCCTTTGGTATTATCCACAGTTTATTGATTAAGAATCTGAGGCACAGAAAAATCGAGTAACTTGTGTACGGTCACACATTATTGAGTGGGGTTTAGTCCTACCTCCTCACTTCACTGACATACTGATGTTGTCAGTCAGGGCCTTCGGTCTCAGCTTGAATCCTGCCTAGAATAAACATTACTGTGTTAAAAGCTACTTTTATTCCATTATTTCATTTGATCTGACCCAATATACTAGACAGGACAGGTATTTGCATCTTTACAGTTGAAAATTTAGGGAGGTTAAACACCTTGCCTAAATCAGAGCTGGTGAGTGACTGATTTAAATAAATATATTTGTTTCCATGAGTTTAGGGCCGCAAGGCTTAGGATTCAATCCTCACACACTCCTGAGCTGTGAATTTAATTAGAACCAGATATCTGGAAAGGGCTAACTCCCACCCAGTCCTTGGATTTTAGCAACTCTGGAAGTCTGCCCTTTCCAAACCAGCTAAGCACCCGTGATCCCTTTCTCTCTATTCCGATAGGACCCCCACTTCCCTCTTCCTCCCAGCAGCCTCCAGAGGTCTTTCTGTAGTTCAGAAAAGTCATCTCCTAAAACCTTTTCCACCCACATTACTTTCCTTTGAACCAGCTCCCTGGAAGGACTCTGTCTTCCCCAGCCTCTTT